TTAAGTGACGCTCGAGCGTGGAATCCGAGCATACCAGTATCTCGCAACTGTTTTACGTCCGCTCGAGCGCAGGAATTGGACGCTCGAGCGGAGTCATGTGTCTCAAGCTTCGAGCAGACGTCGAGCGTCCGTTGAGCCGGAGATTTCACCATCCAGTACTTTTACAGTACGCTCGAGCGGGATATTTGACGCTCGAGCGTGTACCTTTGTTGCATGACCGCTCGAGCGGGGAAACCTGAGCTCGAGCGGGACTCTGTTTTTTCTGAAAACTCTGAAACTATTTTCTGATCACATCTTTGCATCCTCATCTCATCCTAGGCATTCTTAGCCTAGTTTACGACATCTTATTGAGGATATAGAGTGTAGAACACACTGAGGCAAATTAGGGATAAGTTATTATCTTTCCCAGCTGTGTAGCTTAGTGTGTTCTATATCTATATCCTCAATAAGATGTCGTAAACTAGGCCTAAGAATGCCTAAACTCTGTGAGTAACGATTGTGTAAAGATATGTTCAAAAATGATTATTTTCTGAACAACTGAACTGTACTGTTTCTGAATTGAATACTGTTAATTGAATGAATGTATGTCCTATATTCTGAACTGTATTGTGGCACCCTTAGCACCTACTGTTTACTGTTACTGTGATAGAATTCTCTGTCGGTTCCCTTGTTGGAACCACTACTGTTACTGACTGATGACCATCATTTACTGCTCGGTCTTTTAAGACCTACTGTTTACTGTACTGTTATGCTAATGGATGTACCACATATGACTGTACTGACTGAACGACTGAAATACTGTTTAAATGAACTATTTTCATACTGTAAGGACATTCATTCTTAACCTCTTTACGCATTATGTTATTCACTGGGATTTAGCTCACTGCTCATATATATATGTAGGTGTACAGGCACCAGACCACGGCTAGGAGCGTCAGGGTCACTCCAGTTTTGTCCAGCCAACTACCGTGCCTCACTACGAGGTTCCAAGCCTATCATGCTAAGGCTTAGGGGTGTTTTAGGACTCCCCCTTCTGTACTGTCTTGCTGTTTTGTAATAACCGAGTGGATTGTATAGATTAAATGTTTACTGTACTGTTATATAGGGATTAAGTCCCTATTCTGAATGATTGTATATATTGTGCATACTGTTCTGTACTGTTTGTGTATATACGTATGAAAAGTCTTTTTACATACAGACTGTCACAGCTCATTGGACATTGTTTCTTTACTGTTTTGGCTTCCGCCAGGCCCTGTACTCTGTTTTACTGTCCTACTGTTAAGCAGGCCTTTGGTAATCTCGGATTACTGGCCGGTTACGGTGCTAAACCCATAGGGCCAGGTTTGGGTCGTGACAGCAATGCTTTGTTCCAAATTAGGCGATCTAGTCTATACTTGTTTGTTGTGTGCATCACATAGTAATTCTAGGCTAATAACCGGAATAAGAGCACATAATGTTTTCAAAACTCGATATCATGGTTAGTAGAGGCCGATCTTTGATCGGGCGAGCGGGGGTGCTCATAAGGTGACCTTCCCCAATCGTATCCAAGTTCCCGAGCCGAGGCAACTTTGGTGATGACGGATGCGTGGCCTTAGGCACGAGTCAGGGTTTCCTAAATTCTCCCAAAATAAAATATTTAGATGGCGACTCTGTATCTGGCAAAGCAGTCAATGTTTGGCACTTCTTTCTAAAAATCAGTTTTTCAAAACGATTTGTCGGATTTGGACTTTTTGATGATTCATCGGTCTTGCATTGCACTCCGTGAGATTAGATACAGGACCGTGACATTGAGTCCAAACTGTAGTAAGCCCTAATGAACAAAACGAGATCTTTCCCGGGACGTTCGGGGACGTCTACAATTACTAAAATGAGAGATGGAAATAGTCTGATTCAGAACCCTTTCTTTAACAACTAGATACTTGATATCAATAGGCTTTGATCCTCCTGAAGTTTTGTTATTATTGGAGAACCGCACAGCAGCATCATTATCACAGTAAATCTGTAAGGGCTTCAAAATTGAATCGACAAGTTGTAATCCAGATATGAAATTCTTTAGCCATACTGCATGACATGTGGCTTCATAACATGCTATGAACTCTGCCTCCGTAGTGGAAGAGGCTGTCAGAGACTGCTTATGAATCTTCCACGAAATGAGTCCATTAGCAAGCATAAAAATGTATCCAGAAGTGGACTTTCAAGTGTCTTTACATCTAGCATAATCAGCATCTGAATAACCAACCACTTCAAGACTGTCTATTCTTTGATAAGTGAGCATGTAATCCTTAGTGCCTTGTAAATATCGCAACACTTTCTTAACTGCTTTCCAATGATCAAGTCCGGGATTGCTTTGGTATCGACCAAGCATACCAACTACAAATGCTATGTCAGGATGCATACAAACTTGAGCATACATAATGCTCCCAACTACAGAGGCATAAGGAATTTCTTTCATTTGTTCCCTTTCTAAATTATTTTTGGGACACTGAAATTCACTAAATTTATCACCTTTAACTATAGGGGCAACACTACTTGAACAGTTCTGCATGTTGAACATTTTAAGAACCTTTTCAATATAGGCTCTTTGGGACAATCTTAAAATACGACGAGACCTATCTCGGTGAATTTCTATCCCAATGACAAAAGAGGCTTCACCAAGATCTTTCATTTCAAAATTTCTCGTAAGAAATTTCTTTGTCTCATGTATCATTCCCAAATTATTGCTAGCAAGCAATATATCATCAACATACAAAACTATAATGCAGATATTGCTCCCACTGATTTTAAGGTAGACACATTGATTAACCACATTATCCTTAAAATCAAATTTGATGAGAACTTCATGAAATTTAAGATACCATTGTCGAGATGTCTGCTTTAGACCATATATGGACTTCTTAAGCCTACAAACCATATTTTCCTTGCTTTCATCCTGAAAACCTTCAGGTTGGTCCATGTAGACCACTTTATGCAAGTCACCATTCAAAAAAACTGTTTTAATGTCCATTTGATGTAACACTAAATCATAATGAGCTACTAAGGCCATGACTATTCTCAAGGAATCTTTATTAGAAACAGGATAATAAGTTTCCTTATAGTCTATCCCTTCTTTTTGAGTGTATCCTTTAGCAACTAATCTGGCCTTGTATCTTTCGACATTGCCTTTAGGATCACGCTTGGTTTTAAAAACCCATTTGCATCCAACAGTTTTGGCTCCCTTAGGCAATTCTACAAGCTCCCAGACATTGTTGTCTTTCATGGATTTTAACTCATCTTTCATGGCATTTAACCATTGAGTTGCATTTCCATTTTTCATGGCTTGGGCATAAGAAACAAGATCGTTCTCCAAAGCTATATCACACTCATTTAGATAAACCTCATAGTCATCTGATATGGCTGGTTTCTTTTCTCTTTGTGATTTGCGTAAAGGTTGTTCTGCAACTGGGACAACTTCTTTTCCAGTGTGAGAAATCTCTTGTGTACCAATAGGTTCAGGTACTACATTTTCTTAGATAATTGTGAAAGGCGTAAAATCACGATTTTTCTCCAAAGAAATATTTTTGAGATTCATACTCCCACTAATGTTTTCATCCTATAAGAACACATCATTTCTAGTTTCAACAATTCTTGTGCTATGAGTGAGACAATAGAATCTAAAACCCTTGGATCTCTCAGGATATCCAATGAAATAACAACTTATAATTCTAGGGTCTAATTTCTTTATTTGTGGGTTGAAAATTTTTGCTTCAGCATTCAGCAGGATAACCCCATACATGTAAATAATTCAAATTAGGTTTCCTACCAACCTACAACTCATAAGGGGTTATAGGAACAACCTTACTAGGAACCCTATTAAGAACATGTACAGCAGTTTTTAAAGCTTCACCTCACAAATAATCTGGCAAAGAAATCATGCTTCTCATAATGTCCAAAAGAGTACGGTTTTGTCGCTCAGCTACACCATTTTGCTCAGGTGTACCAGGCATTGTGTAGTTAACAACAATACCATTCTCAGCCAAAAATAAAGCAAAAGTACTTGGATTTTGACCCGACTCAGTGAATCTACCATAATATTCACCACCTCTATCAGATCTTACACTTTTAATCCGTCTGTCAAGTTGATTTTCAACTTCAGCTTTATAGAGTTTGAACATATCCAGTGCTTCTGATTTTTCATGAATAAGATACACATAAGTATACCTAGAAAAGTCATCAATAAAAATAATAAAATATTTATGTCCAGAAATAGTTGGAATAGTAAAGGGACTACATATATCAGTATAAATTGTGTCTAATAATTCAGTAGTCCTAGTAGCACCATTTTTCTTTGTCTTTGTGTATTTTCCTTTAATGCAATTCACACAAGTACTAAAATCAAAAAAATCAAGTGAACTTAAAATTTCGTCTTTAATAAGACGTTCCATCATTTCTCTTGATATGTGGCCCAAGCGCTTATGCCATAACATGACTGAATTTTCATTTACTCGCTTTCTCTTTTTATTTACCAAGTTGTTTACATTAAAGGATAAAAGAGATTGTGCATAAGTGGAATCTAAATGCAATGAATAAAGATTACCATATAAAGTACCAAAACCAATCATATGAGAATTGTGGAATAAAGAGACTCTATTATTTCCAAACTTAAATTCATAACCACAGGAATCAAGTTGTGAAACAGAAATTAGGTTTCTAGTAAAAACAGGAACATAAACTGTGTTTACTAAATCTAAAATGAAACCAGAGTCTAAAATTAGACGGAGGGTGCCAATAGCCTCAGCGTCCACTTCTATTCCATTCCCAACCGCAATGGTTCGTTCTCCTTTATTTAGTTTCTGACTTGTAAGGTATCCCTGTATGGAATTTGTTATGTAAATACTTGCACCAATGTCAATCCACTAAGAATTTGGTGGAACATCTACCAAAAGGGATTCATAAGACACGAAGCTTTGAGTGGAACTAATTTTAAGAAATGGAAGGAACAAATTGGAATTGTTTTGGGAATTATGGATTTAGACTATGCATTAAGAGAGCCAGCTCCTCTAAAGCCTAATGATACAAGTTCTAAGGAACATATGGCTTTATATGAAAAATGGGAATGCTTTAATCACTCAAGTTTAATAATTATGAAAGGCTCAATTACGCCTGCAATTCAAGGAGCAATCCCTGTTTCTGAAAGTGCAGTGAGCTATATGAAATCTATTGAAGAACAATTCATTGGAACTTCCAAATCCCTTGCTAGTACTTTCATGATTAAAATGATGACAATGAAATATGATGGTTCGAGTGGTGTTCGTGAACATATCTTAAAGATGAATGACATGGCCTCTCAATTAAAGGGAATGGACATGGAAATTTCTGAAGGTTTTCTTGTTCATTTCATTATGACTTCTCTTCTTGCGCAATTTGGTCCTTTTAAGATCAATTATAATACGCAAAAAGATAAGTGGAAGATGAGCGAGTTAATTGCCATGTGTGTTCAAGAAGAAGAGAGGCTTAAAGTTGAAAAGCTTGATATGGCTCACCTTACCACCTTGGGTCCAACCAAAAAGATTTTCAAGAAAGGCAAAAGTAAGAAGAAGAAGAATGCAAATGATGAAACTCACAAGACTAATGAAGAAAATAAGATTCGATGCCATTTCTGTCGAAAGAAAGGTCACATAAGAAAGGACTGTCCAGGTTTTAAAAGTTGGTTGGACAAGAAAGGTAACACTCAATGTTTTGTGTCTTATGAATCCTTTTTGGTAGATGTTCCACCAAATTCTTGGTGGATGGACATTGGTACAAGTATTCACATAACAAATTTCATGCGGGGATACCTTACAAGTCAGAAACTAAATAAAGGAGAATGAACCATTACGGTTGGGAATGGAATAGAAGTGGACGCTGAGGCTATTGGCACCCTCCGTCTAATTTTAGACTCTGGTTTCATTTTAGATTTAGTAAACACAGTTTATGTTCCTGTTTTTACTAGAAACCTAATTTCTGTTTCACAACTTGATTCCTGTGGTTATGAATTTAAGTTTGGAAATAATAGAGTCTCTTTATTCCACAATTCTCATATGATTGGTTCTGGTACTTTATATGGTAATCTTTATTCATTGAATTTAGATTCCACTTATGCACAATCTCTTTTATCCTTTAATGTAAACGACTTGGTAAATAAAAAGAGAAAGCGAGTGAATGAAAATTCATCCATGTTGTAGCATAAGCGCTTGGGCCACATATCAAGAGAAAGGATGGAACGTCTTATTAAAGACGGAATTTTAAGTTCACTTGATTTTTCTGATTTTAGTACTTGTGTGAATTACATTAAAGGAAAATACACAAAGACAAAGAAAAAGTATAAATAGTGTAAGGTCCCAAACCACACTCTCCATCACAAAAAAAAACTCAAGTTGTCACCACAAGAAGGCTCCCATCGTCTAGAGAGAGAGAAGTGGTTTGAAGATCTTAGACAAGTAAAGAACTTGAAGATCAAGGTTTTCCATTCAAGATTTCTCTTTCTTAAAAGAGGATTTCATACTATCATGGATCAATGTATGTATTCACTTATTTTGTATAGTAGAAATTCATATAGTTTTCATGTATAGAATTGAATTCTTAATGGTTTTTAGTTTATGTTCCGCAAAGTTTTCTATCAATTGGTATCAGAGCCATGGTTCTCAATTCTGATGCATGAAACGTATAAGTATGAATTTCATTTTATGATGATGTTTGGTGTAACAAGTGCAAAACCTTGATTTACACTTGTCCAAATTTATTTTTATTTTTTGCCAATCTTTTATTCTATTGATATTAAAATAAAAATTGAAAATGATTGACCAAGTGGTAATTAAGATAGTGTTTTATGCACTTATAATGTTTTGTTACACACCTTATGAGTTGAAACATTGTTGATCAGCCCAACGGAGGTTCAACACTATATATGTTTGAACAACCGAGATGATTAGTATAATAAATGTAGCAATAAGTTTTTATGCCCAACGGTGATAAACTTCTCACGTGCTTTAGTTAATAAAATAAAATAAGAGACATTGAGTTTTTCTGCCCAACGGTGATAAACTCGTTACGGTCTTAATGATTATTTTATTTTGTATTGTTTATTTTTATTAGCCATCTCATTTACTTTTATGAATTGTTAAAATATATTGTTATTCAGCCCAATGGAAGGATAACTTGATTTCGTATCTATCTAATTATGTTTTATAATTAGATATATTTAACTTGTGGTGTTATTTTTATGAGATGTGAAAAGTAGTTTTCTTGATTATATTATGCAATGGATATTATGTGTTTACAATATTGAATCCTACTGCAATTAATAGTTACTTGTCTGGTATTGAAGCTTTTTTGAATGGAAAACCTTGATCTTCAAGTTCTTTACTTGTCTAAGATCTTCAAACCACTTCTCTTTCTTTAGGCGATGAGAGCCTTCTTGTGGTGACAACTTGAGTTTTTTTGTGATGGAGAGTGTAGTTTGGGACCTTACACTATTTATACTAATATTCTTCCCATCAAAGAATCCATTCATTCAATGAATTCATTAACTAGATTAATGTATCTTATACATTCATGATACATAATGCATCTTCTATATTAATAAAATCATTAGATAGATTAATGTATCTTATATATTCATAATAGATACATAATGCATCTTTAAGATTCATTCATAATGAATCTATTACATTCAATGCATTGACATTATCTCCATTAGTCTTCTATACATTATGTATATATAGGTGCATTCATCAATGATTAGTCACCATCTAATTGACGTAAATGTATTTTACTTAATGAGATGAATCTAGTATAATCATGTATAAGCCACATTAAGCCATATTTAAGAAAAATTCTTATATATACTATAAACTTTCCCTTGTGAAAAATCTTTACCCTCTTTAACGAAGTACATGACCAACAATCAGTAGTAGTTTGGATGCAATTCTTTAGTAATTTTTAAAATTTTCAATTTTATTTTATTTTATTTTTGTTAATTTTAGTTTGGATTTTGATAAAAAGGTCACAAGGCCACTAAAAACTTGTAGAAAGTATTTATTGTTTATTGAAAGTGTGAATATTCGCACTTTAAAAAAAAATCACATTATTTTTATTTAAAACAAGGGTAAAGCTTATTTATTTATTTTTTATTTGTTGCATTTCAAATATGTGAAATTTCACATTATTAGAAATTTAAATTTAAAAATTTTCAATTTAGAAACTATATGAAATTTTAAAAATGTGAAATTTCGAAAGTTATACATTTTCATTCAAAAAGTGTATTTTTTTAAAAAAATAATTTTATATTCAATTGAGATATTTTTTTTGATAGATCTTATCAAATAGATTTCAAAAATGTAAATTTTATAAAAAACAAAGGTAACGGCCCAAATACTACTCTAAGTAACAAGGTTTAGGTAATATTTGGTCAATAATCAAGTAAGGAAAAATTGGTCTATAACCAATTATATATATGTTTTGTGCTATTAATTGTAAGATTAAAAAATTCATCAATTTTGTTAGATAGTTATTGGAATCTAAACTGAATAATAAAATTTGTAACAAAATAATAAAATGTGAGTTTCATGAATCAATAATTCAAATATTATATTATAATTCATCTAATCAAATAAGGCAACTATAAGAATTAAATTGATTAAATTAAAATAATAGATATTAAAATAAAATTTAAATCAAATTAGAAGGATAAAAAGTGTAATTAACAATTGTATTTATTTGATATATATATATATATATATATAAAAACATTGTCATCAGCAGTTTTGTCTAAAACCCTTCTAAAGCCCCCCCGCAGCTCACGCTCTTTATTGGTCTAGGGTTTAGGGTTTAAACGATCACTTGTCTCAAAACCCTAGAACGTGGTTGGTTGCTTAGAAAAAATTTCAGGTAAAAATGGCACGACCTTCCAAGAAACTTTCAAACAAGAAATCTGAGCAGAAATTCCAGAAGCCATCTAAGAAATCATTCAAGCCCACAAGTAAAACAGACGAAACACAAGTATTGGCTATGCAACTCCAAGACGACGTCCCTGACTTCCCCAGAGCCACTGCCAGAGGTGGTTCGTGTATATATATATATATTACATGTATGTATGTATGTATGTATGTATGGTTTTAAATTTGTTTGTTGTTTTGTATGTCTTGTTATTATTAGGTGGAAGAAGTTCACTTGGGAAAGAAGTCGATGAAGTTGATTGCGATGATGTTGATATGGAGTTTGAATCAGGAAAGAGGGAGTTGAATAATAATTATTATAAGAATAAGAATAAAAGGCTACAAAAGCGAAATCATTCAGCAGAAGAGGATGATTTGGGTTCTCTTTTTGGTGATGGCATTTCTGGAAAACTACCTAGGTTTGCCAATAAGATCACCTTGAAGGTAAATATTTGTTAGATAATTGATTGTTTGTGTTTTAAGTCATTATATGTATGGAGATAGATTATTCTATCATTAGTGTGCACTATGGTTGGTTCTCTCGGATGCTATGCTATTGTTGACCCATCCTTGAATCATTATTATAATAGGGTTTTGATGTATAATTCATTCAAGTTTTCTTTTGTATTGTTGCTGCGACATCTGTTCTAAATGTCTGATTTTCCTAGTTTAGGAACTGGATACTCGAGTTATATGCTGAAACAACAATGTGGTTTCGCAAGAAAACAAACAAACGAAAAAATGGAGAGTAAGTGGGGGAATAAAAGAGGAAATGCATGAAAAGAAACAAGATTGTTGAGTAATGACTCAAACAATTTACAAGTTTGATTAGAGTTAGCTGATAAAATTGCATAACTACAAAGCTGAATAGGGAATTCACTGGGTGATGGAAGTAATAAGATGGTTGGTAACAGCCGTACTTAGGTGCTAATAGTGCTATTTCATTAAACTAAATTAAGTTACTGTATTTCCAGACTTGGTGAATTTTTGTTTAGTTGTTTGACAGGCCGAAAAACTGAAATCTGAGGTCCTATACATCTGCAATCTTGCCTTCACAATACTGAACTGACAATGTTTCAGCTTCATTCTCAGTTTGATCTATGAATTTAAGGTGCTTACATTCCTTGAAAAAGGTACAAATAACAAGGGTGGGTTAACTTAGTTGGTTACCCTGGTACATTCCTATTTGGGAGGTTAGGGGGTCAATCCTTGCATTGAGCAAGGACTGATAATTTCTTCCCGCTCTTTCGTAATATTGTTCTCTTCTTCCCCAATATGGGGTATGTTTGTAGGTTGGTTGGTTAGGCTACTTGTTTCTTTCCTATTATAGGGGCTCTTCACTAGATTAGTTGTGGGGCTTCTATTCTATAGTTGTTGGACTATGTTTGCCCCTGATATAATTCACTTCATATTGAAAAATTCTCTCTATCAATTGACCCAAAAAAAGAAAAAAAGAAGAAGAGGGGAATGCTATATACATAGACATGTACATCCGTATGACTTGATCAAACTCAATCCATGTAAAATTTTAATTAATATATATTAAAGGGTGAATGAACCATGACCATAAAATACTGAATACAAGGAGAGCTTAATTTCTAAAATTAAAGTTCTACTTGAGCTAAAATGGGAAAATAAAATTTACAAATCTGAGCCAGGTGGTTAGATTTTGTATTTCTTCCTTTAACTTGCCCCTGATTTCATGTGAAGTTAATGGACTACCTTGATGGAAGTTGTTGGATCAACTTGAGTGTCTAAGGTCTGCTAAACGTGTCAGCTGTGAGTCTTGTGACTACTTTTGCCCACTTGTTTTCTTCCTAATCATACTTTCTCCAACCCTACTTGTTTTCTTCCCGATCATACTTTCTCCAACCCTGATCATAATGTTATGATTGACTGTATAGACCTTGTCCTGTCATACTATTTCATTTTCCCTTCTCTCGTTCCATACGTGAATGTTATCTATTATACTTCTTATTATTTTTTTTTTTGTGTGTATTTTTTTTCTTTATTTGTCTCTATTGAGACTGGGCAACCTGAGAATAGTACAATGTGTGTAGACTTTATTTTGAAGATTTTAATAAAAATTGCATGAAATTTCAATAAAAGCCTAATATTGTTTTAAAAAATTCTTGTAATTATTGGTACTGCTACTTTTGTATTTCTAGCTTATCTACACTTTGAAGTTAACTTCATAGATGCCATCTGTTAATAATTTAGCATCTTAATATTGGATATATTTTTTTTCCACATTAATTTGCTGTCTAATTTAAAGTTATGCTTTCTTTGTGCATTCCTAGAATATTTCTCCTGGAATGAAGCTTTGGGGAGTCATTGCTGAAGTAAATGAGAAAGATATCGTAATTAGTCTTCCAAGGGGCTTGCGTGGATTAGTTCGTGCAAGTGAAGCATTTGATCCTATTTCAGATAATAAAGTGAAGGTGGTGACTTGCTTCTTCTATAAAGAATATCCAAATAGTTCTTCCCTTGACATTTATTTTTTGTCTTTGTGCCATTATTATTCTACTGCTTTTGAACTAATTTTTCTCATTTAGATTTTCCCCCTCCTTCCTTACATTTATGTGTGCTTAAAATTGTTTGTTTTCATAATTTCAGTCTAAGAAGGTTTTATTTTCTATTATATCAGGATGTGGAGACTAATTTTCTTTCTAGCATTTATCATGTTGGGCAACTGGTTTCTTGCATTGTACTGCAATTGGGTGACGATAAGAAAGAGAAGGGGAAACGAAAGATCTGGCTTTCTTTGCGTCTTGCTTTGTTGCATAAGACCTTAACCTTGGATGTTATTCGAGAAGGAATGGTATGCATTTTTCAAATGTTTCATTGATGATTTAATTTTTCTTTTAGCAAGAAAATGACTCTGATACTAATATGATACTTTCTTCTTATTTTTGGTTCCTTCCTGTTTTCATTCAACTTTTTTTGACCACAATCCTATAACAAATGAATATTAATTTTAATAATGATAAATGTTACTAGTGAAAGGAAAAGGTTTAATAAAATATTTTGTGATGAGAAATTGAAATTTGATATTTTGTGAGTCGAGACATGTCACTTAAGACTAACGATGTCTTAACCTTAAGCCTAGGGCTTACAGACAATTAGTAAGGTACTTCTAATATGCTTATGTAAACGTGCTCAATATGCTCCTCTCTTGCGCGTCGCCTCTCTTGCTCTCGATGCCATGCTTGATGCCTTTTGTTTGGTGGTGGAGTGATTCTTTACTATAGTGTGTTTCACCTATGCTGTGTCCCCCCTTTTCCCCCAATGGCATCCAATGCTCTTACACTAGCCTAGGGACCTCTCTGGTAGAGTTTGTTCCACGATTACAGGGCAGTTGAGTGAGACCCTATGACCCTATGCAATACCTCTCAGGTCATGTGACTTGGTGGCTAGAATTAAAGGTTGATTAAGATGCTCGCTCCACTCTCCCTCGAGGGACTTGTGCTTTTGCTTGACTTAGAGAGCGAAAGAGATAGATCTCCAAAAGGAGATGACTCTATACCAAGATAAAGGCATGTGATGTGCTTTGTAAACATCTGAAATCTGTGTATTGGTGATTTGGCGGTCCTAGTAGTTGAGGTCCCACTATTAATGAGGTGTTAGGATAGACAAAGGCAAACCACCTGTATCTTGTACCCACTTAGGCATATGTCCTTGCTTTTTTGTGATGTAGAATCAGTGCAAATTGCACTCTACTAACAGGAGTGACTCTTGTTCTCAAATGTATAGCAACAAAAAAAGTGCATGTGACTCTTTCAGTTAGTTTTAAAAAGCTAGATGAGTGAAAAAATACGAGGATTTTACGGTTTTAAAAGTGAAACAAAGGGTTGGGTTTTGAGATTGAAAAATATGAGTTTTGGGGATTGGTTTGGGCTTGTTCCTACCTTGTGAACAATATCCAAAAAATAGGAATACATGTTTATTTTGCAGTTCTTTATAGGGTTGCACTTGTGATGTGAGATGTTTGAGGGTTAAAGTGCTTTAAATAAATCTGGTTATTGGAATCACTTTTACAAGCCTTTGACATCGCACCTAGAGTTTGATTGCCACCACACCCTCTAGCTTGGCCACCCTCTCCTCTGATTTCTTGCTTATCTCCACAGCTTCTAGCTTTGCCTTCTCATCTGACGCAATAGAAGTCTTAGGCCAAGATGCCTCTTGCTCAGCCACCTTGGGGGTCCTCTTGGAATCCTCTAAAGTAGTCAAATCATCAATGATATGCATCCTTTGTACACATTGAAGAAGACAGTCAATTAGTTGCTAACAAGGGAGAGGAAAGACTTAAATATGTACAAAAACAAATTTCCACGGTTAGCATTTGGGCTATTCCCTTCATTATGTGGTTTCTTGAAGGAATGTTGTGGTTGGCCATGTCAAGTGGAAGAAGAAGATCTTCGACAGATCGAAAGCCATCTCGCGCGAATTTACAACGGAGTTAGTGGTATTGATCAGTTGGCCAGTATGCATCAAAGGCTGTTCCCACAGCTCGAGCAACTCTTTCGTTCCTTGCTCTTCAATATGGCATCAACTAGTTCTTTGCTAGTCTCCTTATGCCTCTTCCAGGACCTCTCGGTTTGGGGAGGGGGGGGACTTGTTCAGTTCAACCTCAGATAAAATAAATGTTCTTCTCCCTCAGACAAATTTCTAAACAAGCCTCTCATACTCCCTAGTCTAAGGAAAGGCAAGAGAGCTGTTCCTTGTGTAGATGTGGAGTTGAGCACTTTGGTCTCCAAGTCAAGCATCACTCTTTGCTTCGGTATGGTTATCTCCCTAGACAGTGCTATTGGGAGTTTGGCTCGAAGAACGGGTTGGAACAAAAGAAGAGGCACTTGTAGTCTAATCGAGTTGATGCTTGTCTTTATGCTCAGGAGACTCTTGAAGATAATCAGTACTTTAACTTTCTTTGTGATAGTAAACCTGTAGATTTGTATGTAACCGAGCAACTCTGGAGCTGAACGTTTTTTGTATTGAAATGTGGCCTTGATTGCTTCTACGTTCTCCGTGGTCGGCTGCCTCTTGTGTCAACTAGGACCTGAAAGGGGAACCAAACGAGTGACTTAGGCAAAATAATCAAGAATTTGAGATTAAAGGAGAGGTCAGTCCAAGACTTGGATGGCTATCGACTTGTGGTAGCCTCTCTGTTTGGTCCTTAGTATCGGCTGAAAACTCCCTATTTCTCCTAACTTGAAGGAAGTCATCATTGTGCTTGTCTTTTATCAAAGAGCTTGGTAACTAGGTGCAACTCGGCCAACTAGACACACAAGCAATATGTAACTCGGCCGACCAAGCACACAAGTAATATGTGCTATAATCCTTGCTGTGGAATAAACCATTGCAATGAAAGATGTCCCAGATTTCAAGGTTAAGTCTGAGCTTGTGATTAAGGGTTGAGATTCCACAGACTATCCTAATGACATTAATAGACACTTGCATCGAGGTAAGCATGACTTGATGGAAAAGCTGATGCAACGAAGAGTCTAACAAGAATCTAAGGCCGCCTTCAACAATAGATGCTATGGGGAAGACGACTATTGATTTGGTCCCCATCTGTTTAGCATCCATCTTTGCCAACGATAATGTGATGTCATTGGCAACACTGTACTCGTGATGGAATCGCACCATAGCAGCGGGAGTATCCACCTTAGTCCGAAACTTGTCCATGGCGTTGAAACCTCACAAAGCATGGAAATAATAAATGGCGGGGAAATCATGGCAATAGTCACTAGAATCAATGGCGGACATCGGGAGAAACCAGAACAGTATTGGAAATCAAAGGAACTAAGTGGGACTAGGAATCAAAGCTAGTGAGGAAGGACGACTTACAACAGATGGGCTCAAAGTTGGGGCTGGAACAGGCTCGTTGGAGGGGAATGACGGAATTGGAGTGAATAGAATCTGCGAGAGAGCACTCTAGATCATTAGGAAGGGGAAGACCTTCTTGGAAGGAAGATGTAGTACTCATAGCTTTTGAACTAGAAGGGACATCCAAGTGTATTGGGAAACCAAAGGGTGTTGTTTATTACTATCATTACTTGTTGGGGAAGATGAAAAAATACAACGGATCGTGTCACATTGAGCAAATCAAGCGGTTAAGGATAGGTTGGCTTCGCCAATTGAAAAGCGCCACGTGTGCACAAGCAGTACACAAACGGATATTTGTGTCTGACCAGGGGGATGATTGAGCTAAGGAGGTAGACACTTAATATCACAAGGAGATTGCCCCTGAAGTTAGCTTCTACTTCACTAAGTACCGGTGTTTTAAAAGGCGCGCGAGTTGCAATGAGGAGCAACCTTGCGCTTCTAACAGGTCAAGGCGAGGCGCAATATGCAAGGTGCAGCTTAGGTGCTGAGGTAAGGGCTTTTTTTTTGAGGCGCGAGGTTTGGGCTTTTTTTTGAGGCGCAAGACGTGAGCTCATACCCGATTTTTCTACTCCAATTGTTGATTAAGTGCTTTTTTTGTGGGAATACCCACAGGGATTCAAAACTCTTCAATATAAAATGACAAAACGTGGTCAAAAGAGCGAAAACTGATAAAAGATTGAATGTTATGCTTTATATCTTTCATTGGATATTATATTTCTAGTTTTTAGATTATTGAATGTTATGTTTAAAGATTATTGGAAGTGATTATGATTTTTGAAATTCTGTATATATTAGTTATGTTGAAAAGTTTGTCTATTTTATAATTTTGCTTTTCTTCTACTACTTGCGCTTCGCTTTGGTGAGGCGCGCGCCTTGCCTCGTGCCTTATGCTTAGGCAATAGGAGATCTTGTCGCCTCGGTGCGCCTAGAGCCTTTTAAAACATTGCTAAGTACAAGTGAAAGCTAAGGGGCAAATGAAGGTGGTTAATATGACCAAGGCAAGGCCTAGATTGGGCCGAACTCGTCACATGGGTCAAGCCCAACTAGCTTGCATATGTGGTTAGATAAGGGCATAGGCCAAGTACACGAGATGGGCCAAACCTAGTCTAGCACCCTTGGATCGAGCCGAGCTTTGGGCTAGGGCTAGGGCTAGGGCTAGATACCGTATATTGGAATTAGGGTTGTGCGTCGAGAATGTTAGAGTTGGTCCAGCCACTATTTGGGCCAAGATAGGCAATGGTCGAGCATCTGTAACTGGATCAGACCACTAAGATTATCATATTGGCCAAGCACAGAGTGGTTAGTGTGGAAGAGCTTGACTGTACAACTAAGGGAGCACTCCCAGAGGGGGCTACCTTTTGGACTAAGTAACAAGGCCTTGTCCTTGGACTCAACTTAAGGTTGTAACAGAGGAATACATGTCGTCAAAATCCCCAGGTGCTGGATTAAACAATTAGGGAAGAATCTTGCATCACATAATAGGTGAGCTCACATGAAGGATGTGCCTAACAGCATTGTGGTTCCCCCACTTAGGAATGATGATGACTAGTGAGAATTGTGGTAACCCTAGTCCTAGTGTTGTGAAAGGCGCACTTAGACGTAGGGCGCAACTAGTGTCTTGAAGGAATCCAAGGCGAGGCACGTTGAATGAGTTGCGCGCTTTGGCCAGGCGCTGAAAGGCACAAGGTGCGAGCCTAAGAGGGCTTTTTTTGTTTTTGTTTTTGTTTTTGTTTCTGATGCTGATCTAACGGCTCTGATCTGTGTTCAAAAGGCTCCAACCCATAGGATTACAACTCATACAATATAACTCAACTCAAATCAGTCAACAGCTTAAATCCCTAATCTATTGAAGAAATCTGTGTCGTCTCTTCCTCTGGGCTCGTTTCTTTTGACTTCGACTTTGACTTCAATTGAGGACTTCGAAATCTTGAGGTTAGTTCTTCTTCTTCTTCTTCTTCTTCTTCTTCTTCGTTAGTTGTTGTTAGATGATTCGATTCAATTCGATTCGACTTTTTTTTTTTTTCTTTCCCTTGTTCTTTTTCTTCGCTGGTTGCTAGGTGACTTATTTTTTCTCCTCCTCCTCCTTCCCCTTCTACTTTGTTGCTCTCTGTTTTTTTCTTTTTCAACTTCGACTTTCTCTCTCCCTCTTTCTCTCTCTTCTTTCTCTCTCTTCTTCTTCTTCTTCCTCTTCCTCTTCTTTGCTCTATGTTTTTTTCTTTTTCTAGCTTCTTCGACTCTCTTTTAGACCCTGCTTCTTTGCTGGGCAGGGTTCTTTCTGTTCTTTTCTGTCTATTGCTGGGTTGGGTTTTTTTTCCTGTCTTTTTTTTTTTTTGCTTCTCTGTTACATGGAATAATGCAAAAACGAGAATAACAGCTGTTTGTATAAGCAAGCACATGTCTTCTTTTTTATTCTATGGTTTGAGAATTATTTGATAATTTGCCGTGGTTACTTTCTTCTTCTTTTTCTTCTTTTTCTTCTTTTATTTATTTTTTATTTTTTTATTTTCTTAATAATTTGTCTTAGTACAAGTATGAGTCATTAGTCTATGTTAATTTATTTATTTTTTACTAAGACTGCGTGCCTTGCTTCAAGAAAGCCCGCACCTCACCTTGCTCCTTGCTCCAATAAAGCCTGCACCTCACCTTGCGCCTTGCGCCTTGCTCCTTGCGTCTTAAGCCTAGGTCCTAAGAGACCTTTAGCGACTTGGTGCGCCTTGAGCCTTTAAAAACACTGCCTAGACCTCTATAGCAGAGGTATGCCAATACTCAAATTAAATCCTCCCGTTTCAATTACGCATGAAAAAATAAGACTCAATTATTATTGCTACATTATTAATTATTATGTGCTCTTTTAGCTCTTTATTATCTAGCTTTGAAGTTGTAAAATAAAAATTTTATTCCCTTATTTGCCTATATGACAAAAGAGGCTAGGTAAGGCGCTCTTTTTGGTTTGATGTGGAGTCTGTTTCTTGCGAAATTGTGTTTGAGTTGAACACTCTACTCTTAACCATATCTTTTGTTTATCTCTCATGCTTATGTTCTGGTATGATTTTTTCTTTTCTTTTTCTAATTGTGTATGATTTACAGGTTATCACTGCATATGTGAAGAGCATTGAAGACCACGGCTATATACTTCATTTTGGATTGCCTTCATTTACTGGGTTTATGTCGAAAAACAGTCAAGCTGGTAATCACTAGTCATCCTAGCATATCCATTCTAGTCACTTTTTGTCTTTTAATTAATCTTTGTTACATCTTTTTTGATAAGTAAATATGTATTAGAAAAAAACAAAAGGGCAAAGGGTACGCAACCTGTATTCAAGAGTATCAAAGAAGGCTTGATGCCAAGTTGAGCTCCTGACGAAATCTACAGTAGACGAGGATTGACAAAAAATCTTTTACACCAAGAAGGAAAACTATGCAAAAGACAAATCTTGAACATAAAAGTTGCTAACACTGTTATCATAAAAAATGCACCCATTTCTTTCTTTTCATAAAACCACAAAATGCAGGGAGAAGCTTTCAATCAAGCTCTCTTTGTTTTCCTCCATTTGCAGCATTCCCAACTTTCCAACAACTCTCTTAATCAAGCAGGGATAACTCAGAACCCCAAAAATGTTCTAACAACAAATCCCAAAGCTCCCTAACCACCTCGTAATTGAGAAGCCAATGATCCAGAACTTTGTTATCAGGATCTTACGATTCACGATTCGATTTACAATTTTTACAAAATCGATACGAATCTATGGGTGAATCTATTTTGGAAGTGAGTCTCTAGTGAATCGCGCAATTCACAATCGATTTACGATTCGATTCACTTTTTACAATTCATGCAATTCTTGAAGCTATCATGTTTGACATATTTCAATTTTTTTCTTCATTTTTTTAGTTAAAATGACATAATACAACTTCTAATAGGATTTGGTGCGAAATAACCACTATATATACATGATTTTTTTTTTTCTTTTAGATGAGGGAGTTTTTAATAGGATCCAATCAGATTCAGTCAGGCCCAACATGTTTTAAACATTTTTTTCTCTCTGTTTTTTTTTTCCCTTAAAAAAAAACAACAGAATGTATATTCTAAAAATGTTTAAGGTTAAAGTAATTTCCAATATGAATTCATTTATTGCTATTTTATTGAAATAAATATATTTTAATATTACATGGATGAGGTTAGTTAAACCTAATGGTTCTACAAGTTCGTTATTATTGGGTCATTGTTACTTGTAAAGGTATATATGATTATGAAATATCAACATCATTGTTAAGTTATTGTTTCTTGAAAATTAAGAGTTGATTTTAATTGAATAGATGGCTGAAATTGCAATAAAAGTATAGGGGACAAGTAGGGCTTGTTTAGGATAATATATGTTTAAGAGTTTATGCATGAAAAGATGAGATTTGGCACTGTTTAGGGGCTGTTAAAGTGCAGAAAATACAAGAGGGAAAGAAGGAGAAGAAGAAGATAGGTTGTGGAATCACTCTTAGAATCTTTTAGGCATTACACCTAGCATTTGATTGCATCACACAATCCGTAAAGAAGCTTCAAAAGTTTTGAAAATTTTCTTAAATATCAAATCTATTGAATTAGAAGAATTACATGACTTCATATAGACTTTAAAGACTTCCTATTCCAACTATAACAAGAGAAGTGAACTACTAAAAATTCTTTTACTTCCGAAACCAATTTAAAATCAAATAAGAAAATAAGAATAAAATTCAATTCAGTAACTTGACCCACAGGCCAACCCCTACAACCCATGTTAGCAAATATGAAAATTACCAAAATACTGCTACCTTAAAATCCTAGTAAATTAAAACTAGTCATAAAATAAGACTAATAATACTAGAGACATGATTATATATCGATTTTTTTTTGAAATCATTCTAATTTTCAAATATCATCGCTTCTTTAAATTTACTCTTCCTTGAGCATTTTATACGCTGCATCAAGCTAGCTGGATGGAAAAGGCAATATCTATATAAGAGATTATAATCACTCTTATTCAGGGTTCCCTAGCTTGCTTGCCTACTTTGTGTATAGGGGGCTTTCATCATTTTTGCCTTTTTAATCTAGCCTTGTTGGGTAAATGACTTTGGATATTCGGAGAATAGAAAGACAATCTGTGGAGAAGGGTGACGATAGAGGATGGTCTGACTTTGTCAAGCACGTGAGCTTTGTGGTGATGGTCATAGTTACCTTTGGATTGTCATAGTGTTGTTGTGAACTAGGAAACTTTGATAGCAAATTACATGAGACTCAGGAATGGTTTGGGAATATCTCTCATTAGATTGCTTTAGGACTAGTAATCGGAGGCTATAAGTTATTTCTTTGAGCTTCTATACAGAATTACTGTTCATAGGAGTAAGATTGGTGGAATCATGGGAATGGGATTTTCATGGTAAAGTCCTAATATTCTCGAACATTTGGTAGGGTGAGGATCTTATTTCCTTTTGAAGTGATTTGGGAGTTGGGAGCGCCAACAAAGGTGGCATTCTTTGTATGGATGATTGCGTTACTCTTTTCTTACTATTGATAAACTAAAGAAGAAAGGATATAGGCTCACTAATCACTTTATTAGTGTTGTGCTGCTTACGTTAGAAAGAGGAAACAATAGATGACTATTCCTTCTATTGATAACCTAAAGAAGACAGGGTATATACATACCAATCATTGTCATTGCTTATATGAGAAAGAAGAGGAAACAATAAATTAGGAGTGTTAGCAGAGTGTCAGTGTCTGACACGACACTTCTTTCATAGAAGTGTTCCTACTTCTTGTGGATATATGGGAGCTTCTATTTGCATCCCAAAAAGTAGATTAGGCACCCCAATTTAATGATATATTTTTTTATTACTATTAAGTCCCTATTTAAAATGACCAAAAAGTACTTGACTTTGGAAAAAGTGTAAATAAAAGTGTTTTGAAAACCCCATTCATCATCAGCCCCAATATTCATTTTCTCTATTCTTTTCCTACTTTCATCACTTTGCATCTTCATACCCAACCCTAACCCAACCCTATTTACTTTAATCCATCATTCTTGTATTCTATTTCATATTGAAATCAATAATAGACAATAAATAAGACGTTTCCAAGCAATTTTCTATAGAGAAATTAAATTTTTAATTGTTGTTCATCATTTTTTGTAGGTTAGTTTTCCGAATTGATTTGACGCTGAGCATCCGAACAAACTTCACATGTTTGGAATTAAGTATTCGGACAAAATATTTTGTTCGGCACTGAGTATCCATATGAAACAACTGGCCGGAATAAACTTCACGTGTTTGGAATTAAGTATCCGGATAAATATATTTTGTTCGGCACTGTGTATCCATATGAAACAATCGGAATCAATTTTCTGTGGTTTGGGCTTGAGTATCCGAATAAACTTCATATGTTTGGAATTAAGTATGTGGACAAATATATTTTGTTCCGCACTGAGTATCCATTTGAAACAACTGGGACCAGGTAGCCGCTGGTTAGGGGTGTGTGCGGTGCGGTTCGGGCAGCTTGAGAGTAAAATTATAAACCGAATGGCGGATTGGCAGATTGATAGATTGGTAAATTGCGGTTTGAGTGGTTTTGGATGGATTGGCAGATTGAAGAATATTTTAGCCAATTATCAAGTTTTTACATAATATATAATACTAATTTGCATAATATTTTTTATATATATGACACAAACTAATTTTACATAATATTTTTCATAAATATAACTACTAATTTGTAATAAATTTCACATATTAAATATCTTTTACACTCATTTTTACCTTGATATTTTATTATAGGTTAAAAAATATATATGTATCAACTATAGCGGAGCAGAGCGGTTTCGAAGGCGGATTATAAATTTTAAAGTTTAAACCGCGGTTAGCGGATAATGTGGATCGATGCAGATCGGTGCGATTTTAACGGATTGGGCGATATTTTGCACAGTCCTACTGTTGGTAGATGTAGGAGTGGTAGTTTGCTTTGATAGACGGATTGCATAGAGGAGCAGAGAGAGACCCTCTTCATCTCGGTTGAACTCAGAATCCCTTTTCGTCGCTTGGAATTCCAGAGACTCCAAATGTGGTTTTTGTTCCACTGTTTATTGGTAATAGGGTGTACAAAGTAGATTTGTATAGGGTTTTAGAGCTTTTGAGATTAGGATAGGTATTATTTAGAGTGTCCAAACAAATAAATAAAATTTCAAATTTATTATTGGGGTGCTCAAAGTAATGTGGTCCTCAACCTACATTTTAGGGTGCAAATAGAAGCTCCCGTAGATATATATTAAAATATAGGGTAAATTACAAATACACCCCTTGAGGTTAATTTAAAATATGAATTCTGAAAATTACATTCCACCTCTTGAAGTTTTTAATTTCATAACAAATAGTCTCTTTTGTTAATAAATCATCAAATGAATTAACAGTTTTTAATGATGTTAGAAATTTATTTCAATTAATAATTCATGTAATTTTATTATTCTATAGAAGAGTAGTCAAAATTTTTATTTTTTTAGTTAATTCTGTTAAATAAAAAATTCTGACAAGAAGGTATTTGTAATTTTTCAAACTACAAGGGATAATCCATATTTTAAGCAAATTTTAAGAGGTGTATTTGTAATTTGCTCTAAAATATAAATATATTTATGAGAATTTATATGCTTGAGTTGAAGTTGCCCTTTTCCCACCCACCCCCTCCTGAACCTAATCAGATTCTACCTACCCATCCCCAAACTCATCCCATTAAGGTTGGGATATTTTACCAAAAAAAGCATGGATGATTGTATCATGTGGTGGTTGTGGAGAGAAAGAGATGGATGCACTTTTGAGGATACAGAGTTGGTGGTTGTAGACGTCCCAGAACGCCCCGGGAGGATGATCCCGATTTGTTCGTTCTGGGGCTTACTACAGTTCGGACTCAAATTGTCACGGTTCTTAATCTGAACCAAAGAGTCCAAATTTGGCAAATCGTTTTGAAAAATAGATTTTTGTAAAGAAGTGCCAAACATGGACTACTTTGCCAGATACAGCGTCGCCATCTAAATATTTTATTTTGGGAGAATTTAGGAAACCCTGACTCGTTTGCCTAAGGCCACGTGTCCGTCATCACCAAAGTTGCCTCGGCTTTGGAACTTGGGTACGATTGGGGAAGGTCAGCTATGAGCACCCCCTCTCGCCCTATCCGAAGAT